GACATTATGTGCATCTGAGGCATAAAACACGAAAAAAATGTCGCTCAGCTAAATGTAACTGAGTGAATGAAAACAGTTACTGCCCACATCTATTTATCTAGTTTTTAAAGGAAAAATATAATTTTAAAAAATCAGCAAGTGAAAGATTGTTTATCAACAATTAAATTCTGCCTCTCATGTAGGAGAACTATGTAATGAATCGATACCAAAGGTTTGAAATTTTACTCTGTTATCTGGATTTATCTTTGCATGCCTCTGTGAAGAATTTACTGTACAGGGCAGAGAGAGAGAAAGAGCTCTATTACTTTCGACTTCTTTTGAGAGGCCTCTCTCTGAATTTCCTTTGTAAGTTTTACTGTTGAGATCAGTCAATTTTTTTAGTTTATGCAGTATTTTTGGGGAAAAAAAAGTATTTTATAGTCAAAGTTGATTAAAAAAATGTGAATCTACTGTAAGAATCAGAACCTTCTTTTTACAAACAAAGAAAATATCCATAGATTTCAAAATTGGTGCAGCAGCAAAAAGGAGAATTTACATATTCAATGTCCTAAAAAACAACATTATGTGCGATTTGAGGCATAGAGACGGAACAAAACTGTCAGAGAACAAGCAAAATGTTCTGCACATCTGCACATCCCAGCGGCTCTTAACATTTTATAGAAAGTAAAATGAACTGGAAACAATGTCAGGAGGATTTATAATGAATAAATAATGTCGGTTTCCGGGAATAAAGTGGAAATCATTAATCAAGACCAACATGTGCGGCCAACTAGATTTAATTAACATATTTTTATATAGCGCTTATTGTTATTTAATCTAAAACAGATTCCTTATTTTCAAACATCAGCTTATATCTCCACTGGAAACCACTTGTTTCCCTTTTTCATCTTACAGAGGAAAGTAGTTTTCCAGAAGTTTTCACCTACAGGAAATTGCTCAGTGACTGACAGACTGACTGACATCCAGCTTTAAAACCTGTTAACTGCAGAACCTATATGGCTCCCAAAACTATAAACACAATCACACAATATGGCAAAGCAATCAGTGTTGCAATTCTGATTTCATTGTTACATTAAAGTCCAAGCTGACCTTTTAGCATCTTATAGAAATGGTTGTTGTGACGTGCTCTTACTCCATCATTTTGACAGATAAAAATAGTGTACCCAAGTGCCTTTGAGAGGAAATCTTTTACTAGCAACCTGAAATTCCATCTAATACCCCGACATCATACAGAAAGGTTTCTCAGAGCAAACTTCAGACATCAACAAAGCTCCAAACACCCCCGCAGTATTCTAGACAGGAAGCATGGAGAGTGAATCAAGTGAGCTACATCTGTTTGCACAATTACACCCCTCAGTTTAAGTTCCTCTGACAGAAAAAAAATGATCTCACTTTCTCAGAAGTTTGGTCTCTTATCAGGATTTAGTTTGGTTAAAAAAAAACTAGAATCATGGTTTTAACATCAAGACGTGCTGGGAATAGCGGAACTGTGGAAGTCTGTCTCTCTGGTTTCCACTGAGAAGGTTTTTCATTTTAGCTTACACCCGCTCCTGGATTTCCCTTTTCTCCTTTCACACCAGAATCACCCTGAAACACAACAAGAACAAAGAAGATTCTCTCAGTTCTGGAATGACATTGACCATTAGATCTCTTAACCAATGATATAAAAGCACATTACTTACAACCACGCCCTTCGGTCCGGGTGAACCTGGAGTTCCAGCATCTCCTTGGATTCCCTGAAGAATATAAAATAAACACAAATTATGTCTGCGATCTTATTTATGCACTGTGTTATTACTGTTTGTTTGTTTACTGTTGGCCACCTAAAGTAGGCTAGGAGAGATGACTTCCTGTTGCATCTTACCACTTAAGACAGGGGTTTTCAAAGTTTTCCAGGCCAAGGACCCCTAAACTGATGGCGAGATGGAGCGGGAACCCCTTAATTATATACATTGCATGAAATTGTGTTCTATCAAGCTAGTCCTATAGTGACTCTATTACAAATGGAGTAATGTAACAAAAGTTTATTGAAGTACTTCTGGTTCAGATTCCTGGTTGATCGGACAGGTGTTGTGAATGAAACGGTGCTCAGCTTGAAAGAGCTGATGGGTGTTGCTGAATGTGTGCATTGATGACTGAAATACGGTGGCCCTGAAGTGCAAACTGCAACTACAAATCTAAAAGCGCAACTACATTAAGGAAATCGCAACTACATAAAGCAAAGCACAACTACATTAAGGAAAACACAATTACATTTACCTACCGGAAAAGGTAGGTACCAGTGGGAAACATGAGACATCGCTGATTGGACGACGGGGCTGCTTGACCCTTGAACCGGAAGTCATTCTGCCTGCTGCGGCTTTTGAAAACATGGATATTGTCGGCGCCCCAAACATAGCTGCCGTTATCCAGGAATATTTTGAATCAGGACATACACTATATTGCCAAAAGTATTTGCTCACCTGCCTTGACTCACATATGAGCTTAAGTGACATCCCGTTCCTAATCCATAGGGTTCAATATGACGTCGGTCCACCCTTTGCAGCTAGAACAGCTTCAACTCTTCTGGGAAGGCTGTCCACAAGGTTTAGGAGTGTGTTTATGGGAATTTTTGACCATTCTTCCAGAAGCGCATTTGTGAGGTCGCACACTGATGTTGGACGAGAAGGCCTGGCTCTCAGTCTCCGCTCTAATTCATCCCAAAGGTGTTCTATCGGGTTGAGGTCAGGACTCTGTGCAGGCCAGTCAAGTTCATCCACACCAGACTCTGTCATCCATGTCTTTATGGACCTTGCTTTGTGCACTGGTGCACAGTCATGTTGGAAGAGGAAGGGGCCAGCTCCAAACTGTTCCCACAAAGTTGGGAGCATGGAATTGTCCAAAATGTCTTGGTATGCTGAAGCATTCAGAGTTCCTTTCACTGGAACTAAGGGGCCAAGCCCAGCTCCTGAAAAACAACCCCACACCATAATCCCCCCTCCACCAAACTTTACACTTGGCACAATGCAGTCAGACAAGTACCGTTCTCCTGGCAACCGCCAAACCCAGACCCGTCCATCAGATTGCCAGATGGAGAAGCGCGATTCGTCACTCCAGAGAACGCGTCTCCACTGCTCTAGAGTCCAGTGGCGGCGTGCTTTACACCACCGCATCCGACGCTTTGCATTGCACTTGGTGATGTATGGCTTGGATGCAGCTGCTCGACCATGGAAACCCATTCCATGAAGCTCTCTGCGCACTGTTCTTGAGCTAATCTGAAGGCCACATGAAGTTTGGAGGTCTGTAGTGATTGACTCTGCAGAAAGTTGGCGACCTCTTCGCACTATGCGCGTCAGCATCCGCTGACCCCGCTCCGTCAGTTTACGTGGCCTACCACTTCGTGGCTGAGTTGCTGTCGTTCCCAAACACTTCCATTTTCTTATAATACAGCTGACAGTTGACTGTGGAATATTTAGGAGCGAGGAAATTTCACGACTGGATTTGTTGCACAGGTGGCATCCTATCACAGTTCCACGCTGGAATTCACTGAGCTCCTGAGAGCGACCCATTCTTTCACAAATGTTTGTAAAAACAGTCTGCATGCCTAGGTGCTTGAATTTATACACCTGTGGCCATGGAAGTGATTGGAACACCTGATTCCAATAATTTGGATGGGTGAGCAAATACTTTTGGCAATATAGTGTACGTACGAGGTGATACTGGATATGCTCAAGAATAATCACGAAATTTCAGTTAGCTTGCGTACACTGAAGACACACTTAAAAGAAGCTGGACTGTTCAGACGACGCAACTTCCGGTACAAGGGTCAAACGGCCTCATCGTCCAATCAGCGATGTTTCATGTTTCCCACTGGTACCTACCTTTTCCGGTAGGTTAATGTACTGTAGTTGTGTTTTTCTTAATGTAGTTGCACTTTTAGATTTGTAGTTGCAGTTTGCACTTCAGGGCCACCGTACTGAAAGACATCTTCTACCACCATTTATCTGTTTACTGCAGTGGTTCTTCATGTTAATGTGTATTTAAAGACATTTCAATTAGTGTAAAAAATTGCAGGGGGGAATATACCAAAAAAAGTCTAATCAACCAAAACTCGCGACCCCCATGCAGTACCTCCGTGGACCTCCTGTTGAATACCTCTGACTTAAGGTATTGGGAAACTCTTATATATGGCCCACTGTGTCCATGTACTCAATGTCATACTGGAACATTAAAAAGTATGAATTCAGAACTCTTCCAGAAGTACAAATGCTAATAAATGTTGATAATAAACACTGAGTGAAGCTATTTTTTTTCAAACAGAATAGGGATGTCAGAAACACTAATTGTCTGAAAAGTATAATTTTTTTCTTACTTGTTGCCAATAGTAGGCTAATGTTACAAAACATCTTGAGGCCAACAGCCATTTTCTTCGACAGTAAAATTCTGGCCTTTCCTCAATATGTGTACTTGTGCGTTCTCATGTGCTCGTGAAACTTCAGCAGTCTAAGCCCTAGTACTGTACCAATTCACAAGAACAGCGGATCGAGAACGGACAAAGTCCCTGGATGTTGTTCTTGCCCCTCCCTCTTTACCCAGCATGCATCAGAGCAGACTTGTCTGTTCTTGAGACTGACGGCTGTCTCAGCATGCACTGCGGCAGCAACGTTCAATGGTGCGCTCACAGAGCTCAGAGTATTAAGTTAAAAGTTCTCTTTTCTCTTGCTGTTGTTCAATAAAAGTATGTTTTAAAATCATTTGAGGCGAGAACATTTTACTTTTAAGCATCACTATATGGCGTATTGAATATAGGTATGCTGATCTGAGAGAACACCGGCTCTACTCTGAGCCTCTCCTGGATGACTGAGTTCCTCACCCTGTCTGTAAGGGAGTGGCCAGCCAGCATGCGGACCACCATCACACACTAATGTTGGCAAGCCACAGATGAACTGGGACTCGCTGACAGAAGCGAGGCTGCCGTACACAGGTGTCACCAGTCCCTCTGACCACCATCTGTAGGCAATGCGGTTGAAGTGTCTTGCCCAAGGAAACAACAATGAAAGCCGAAGCCGTGGCTTAAACTGACACCCTGCGGTTGCATGGCAACTCCTGCATCTGTGGCCTCTGTCATCCCACTGAGGGTAGAAACGTAGACCACCCAGTTAACAGAGAGCTTTGATTTTACGCCCACCTCTCTCTTCATCACATCTGCATTATATTTGAAGCAGAACTGTTCTGTCTATCGATCTCCAGCTCCTTTCAACCTTTACTCGTTAATGGCACCCCAAGATCTTTGAGATTGGGGTGCCGTCAACACACTTGAATTCCATTATTTAAGGGATAAACTCTGTTCCAGCCTGAAGCTGACAAACCAACGTCCTCTACTTGAGAACTGGTGGACACATACAAATTCCCCTATGCAACCGTCAACTTTTTTCAGCACCAGTATCAAAGCGTTGATATGTGTTTTTTTTTTTTTATTAAATTTGTATTGTGTTTTTTTTTCTGAGACATCACATATTCTGACAACACATAATGTGTAGTCTGAATTTCAGACAAGGAATTGATCATAATATCCTTATTTATTAGCATAAAAAAATTACCCTTTTGTGTTTGGAATTGAGTCCAATAGCAAGTTGTATTAAAATGTAGTTCTGTTTTAGTAGAGCACCTGGTGGTAAAATTTAACTTATTGCTCCTTTAAATGTAACAAAAAAGTAAAAGTCTTGATTTAAAAAAAAATATTTAGGTATTCTAAAAAATTAATGTACTTAGTTACAAAACAAATCTGTCAATTCAAAGACATCGTTTTTGCTTTCATTAGAATTCATTGCACTCTAGTTTTTTTTTTCTTTTTGCAGACAAGCCTCTTCCCAAGTCTAAAGTTATTTAAAGTCTATGACATGTTTTGTTCCTGGACCGGCCAATTCTTTGCTTTAATTGTCTTCTGTCCCTGCAGAAGGAGAAAGTATCACCACAGTCAGCTGGTCTCACAGCTTTCTGTTGGTCTATTGCATGATGCCTTAAAAAAAACATTAGGTTTAAATGAAGCTTACAGTCAAAATAGGAAAAGTTTAAACGTCTGTGAATATATTTGAAAAAGAATCAGTCAAACTATGAATTCACTCTGCTTTCAAAAAGTGATATATAACTGTATTAAATATTTTGTTTCATAGGAACATAGGAGTAGCTGTACAGAAGGAGTATTTTAGTAAACTTAATCAAATATTCAAAGCAGTAAGTAACAAAAGAAAATTAAATGGAATAAAACTTTGAATTTTTCTGAATTTTGTGCTTTCACTGACCTGAATACATGTAAATGATTAACACTGATTACTTTATTAATATGTCATTTTCTTCAGATCTAAAGTAGTAGGGAGATGTTAAATTAACAAAGGAACTGTCCTCCATTTTTTCTTTATTATTTTAAGAAATTAAATTGAAAAAAAAAACTGATGTTTCTGGTATTTGCATTTTCGGGTTTTTCCAAATTTCTAACAACAAAACGTAATTTTTGGTTGACACGATAAGGGAAAAAAATCACTCCATAGTCTTTTGCTGTTAAGAGACGAATGTATTAAATTGATGATAACATTTTGTTAATAAAAAATTTATTTGGTCCTAATATAAGCATCTTGAAAGGGTAAAAGAAGGACACACCATTCTTAGAAAAACACCTTTAACTCAGAGTATGTTTTGTAGAATGTTCCTTTATCAACTCTTAATTCTTCTGGATGAAGTTCAACATCCGACCACAAAAACATCAAGGTTTGCTTCGGTTAGACATTAAAATTAGACAAACCAAAAGAGGCAGAAATAGAGAGTTCTGGAATGGCTATTAAAATCCCACGACTACGGATTGATTTGGAGGGTCCAAATGCATGAATCTGTTTTATTTTTTATGATGATCTTTGAACATTTTTCGTTGTCCAAAAGATTAATTTCAGTGCTGATATACTAAGTTACCGGTATGTATGTACGAGTATTAGGGCCAATTACGGCCAATTACGAGAATCAATTGGTAACATTGTGAGAATAAAGTAGTAAAATTACGAGAATGAAGTTGTAAAATCATGAGAATAAAGTTGTAAAATTATGAGAATAAAGTCGTAAAATTACCAGAACAAAGTTGTAGTATAGGAGAAAAAAAGTCACAACAAGAATAGTCATAAAATGACGAGAATAAAGTCATAATATTAAGAGAATAAAGTCCTATAATTACAATAAACAAGTTGTATTTTATGACAGCTCCTACAAGAAGCATTGTCTTCCCTCATGTGAAGTTATACTTTGGCTCTGGTTTGATAAATAAGGAAATCTTTTAGCACCAGCATCAAACGGGGCAGGATGTCAAAGAGGACTCAGGTTGCTGTTTGGTGGAGCTGGTTGGCTGTCATATGGTGGTCTTAGCTCAAAGCTTTCTTTCTGAAACAGGTAGTTGTATGATGACTTCATTCTCATTATATTACAATTTTATTCTCATAATTTTACAACTTTATTCTTAAAATAAAAAAAAAGGCCCTAATACTCCACCGTCAGTTCCCATATGGTGGGGCATATATTCAAAGAAAGTTGCTAAGCCTCAGCCAATGATAACCTACCTTCTGTCCAGATGGACCTGGTAACCCTGCAGCTCCAGGTCTGCCTGCTTCTCCCTGAATACAAAAAGCAAACAAACATACAAATGTTTTATTTTATTTTTTATGACTTTTTACAATTTTGTAATTTTTCCCAGCTTTAACACAGTTTCCACCTTACTTTGTCTCCTTTGTCACCAGTTAGACCATCAATACCAGGCACACCACCGGTACCCTGGGAAAAACACAATCAGTGTAATTACTACCAGTCCATGACATTTTAATCCTGGGAAAGTATAATAAAATGAGGCCCGCATATCTTCAGTTCCACACCTTCTCCCCCTTTTGTCCAGGAGGACCTGTTAACCCTATCATCCCTCTATCACCCTGCAAACAGAAAAAAGTATTATAACTGAGGGTTCTGTCAGACACAAGCATGCAGGTGAGGCGGTGCAGGCGACGAAGGCGTGCTGCCAGGATCTCAACCCTGGGAGTCTCACAGACAACTGTTAGGCAAACGGATCATAAAGATATTAGATGAATAATATGTACATTAGAGGAATAGAAGATGTTAAAAACACACTCTGAGTCACACTCTGTGAAACACAACTCATTGAGGCCAGAATCTGTTGAAAGCTTCACCAAGACCCAACAAGATCTGGCTGCACATTCAACCTGAGATTCATCGAACAATGACTTTCCATTGTCCCTGTAGAGTCGCAGTTTTGGACAGCAAAACCCTGATGTCACTTTCTGTGCCAAGGAATTTAAAGGAATTTCAAAGCGGGAGCTCAGTGAGATTTAATGCCTTCGAAATTATACAGCACACCATAAGTCTTACCCACCACAAGACTTCCCTCTGCTTTACAAGTCACATAAGGTTGCCCTTTAATTATTCCAGGCTCATATTAACACATAGTATTTATTTAATCATTCAGATTTAGAGACGGGAGCCCTGGGCAAAAGGACATCATCTAAAGAGGGACAATTACACCGAGCATTACCTGGCCCAGTTGGATAAAGATACAATTAGATGCAAAGTAAAAGAACTAGGCTTTAAAACCCTGAAATTAATAACCAACCCTGCCGCAGCTAACGTCATGTGTTTGCTTTTATTTATTTTTTTTTTAGAAAGTTTACAGCAGCAAATTGCAATGTGGTCTTAGAAAAAAGCAAAGACAGATGTTGAAGCACACAGTAACAAATGGAAAGGCAAGTGCATATGCATTAAAGTTTGTTTTAATGCACTGCTGTCAAAGCGGCAAAGTTTTCCCAGCAGGAAGGTCTATTAAATGACTGAAAATATGGAATGGAACAGAGACCAGCTGCCTGCGAGAGAAACTATGCATTTTTTTGTCCACATCACATATACTCCAATATTATTTGCAGTATGTGAGAGGTGGATAGATGTGAAGTGAAAGGAAATGGATAAAATCTGTAAAATAGATCTATTTACAATGTGGTATGTCATTTTGCCTATCCGCCTTTGGAGATCGATCTTTTCGTCATTAGGGTGTCATTGGTCAATGAGCTATCTCTATAGTTATGCTGCTATAGGATTAGACTGCTGGAGGACATAGGGACCCTCTCTCTATTCTCCTATTCTGTAGAATCTGTTAGTTCAATCTCTAACGTTCTGCTCTCTCTGCTTTTTCTCATAGTAGCTTCGCTTCGTCTGTTCCTGTCAGGCTGTAACCCCAACCTGGAGACAAATATCAGCTGTGCTGCTGCCATCAACACCTTTGTTTATAGATGTTGGAGATCATCCTGTTTTTCCAGTGTAGTCCTGTTTCTCTGACTGTGACTGGCTGGATGTGCTCTCTTCATCCTCTGGCATGGGAGCTGGCTCTGAGCTCGTCTGCCTGGCTGTGTGTTTCCTGGAGGGGCCGCCTTTTACAGCTGCTTTTTGTGTCTCTGCTTCTGTCTCCTTGAACCCCAGTCGGCCTCAGCAGATGGCTGCTCACACTGAGCCTGGTTCAGCTGGAGGTTTCTTCCTGCTAAAAGGGAGTTTTTCCTCTCCACTGTCACTACAAGCATGCTTAGTGTGAGGGATTGCTTTTGAGTCAATGGGCCGGATTTATCAAGATCCAATTTTGCGTGCAGTAATTTGCGCTCGCAAACTGGAATTTTGCGCGAGGGGCTGAACCATGGTTTGCGGGTGATTTAACAAGAGTGATTGCGTAACTGGTGGAAGGTGCAAAACTGTTGGAGACGCCCTATTTAAATGATGGGTTTGCGCGTTTTGTGGTTTGCGGCAAAGTAGTTTGTAGTCTGTACAAACTAGTGCATTAAGAAATTTAAATCTTACAGTGACCCCCAACAAAAAAAATAAATCAAATCTGCAGTAAAAAAAACAAACAAAAAAAAAAAACAGGTGTTTTGTATTGGCCTGTGACTGTGGATGAGATCCCCGCAGCATTTGTCATGTTGCTCCACAGGCGCAGGGGGAGAACCCCGACCCCGTCGCACAGCACTTCTGAAAAAACGAGATTGGGAGATCCCAGCTCTCGCTGCAACCGTACGCTGGAATGACCCAGATGCAAAAAAGTGCAATGTTGCAAGGAGTTTTGTGATATCTGGTATTGCGTGGGTCCTCCTTGTGGCTGGCTCCAAATCCATTCGGAGTTCCCCCAACAGCTCCAAAATGGCAATGCTGGATAAACGATATGTTTTGATGATCGTTTCCTCGTTCATTGCAAAAATATTCACACGGAGTGAAAAAATGCGTTCTCTGCGTCTCCTTGCTTTATTTCCATGTCTCCTTCTTGCGACAATAACCGCTGCCATGTGTGCGCAATTACGCATACAGACCATTTGCACCTTCTTTTGAAACGTGTTAAATATAGAGTCAGATACCGTCAGCAAAATTGCGTTCAGGTTTGATAAATCACTTTGCGAGTGCTAAATTAATATATTTACATGTTCTCCTCCCACAAGACGCACTTTAGCGTGTAAACGCCCCATATTGCATATTCATTGCAGAAAAAGTACTAAATGGATAAGAGGCGCTATTTAGCACGTTTTAAAGACCAAATCCTTTTAGCACGCTGTTGATAGATCAGTTTGTACATTTTTTAGCGTGCGCAGTGAAACAGCTCACGTTTTAATACACGCAAACCTTTGATAGATCCGGCCCAATGAGTCGATGCAATCAACTGGTTATCCTTAGATAGAAAACTTAGAATCAATTTGACTGGATGATCAGGTTGAACTGTAAAGTGCCTTGAGATGACGTGTTATTAATTGGCGCTATAAATAAATAAACTGAATTGAAAATAAAATGAATAAAGTTGAATTGAATTGTATCTTTTACTTGGTGTACCACATAAGTGTCATAGAAATACAACGAAGATTGTTGCTATGATAGGAAGAACTGCAAGAAGGGAAAGGTGTTAAAATAAACGTTTGAATGTTTTTGTCCACATGCATAAAGGTCATACTTATGATGCAGACAAACACATATTCAGGTTAGAATGACGCTCATGCTCGGTCTACATGGCAGACCACTTTACTTACCTTCTCCCCTCTGTCACCTTTGACAGAGGTCAGTTTGCCCTGCAAATAATTAATCGATAAGGATCAATTATTATCGAGGCTGCAAGAGAAGAGCAACAGTTGGAAGGCATGCAGTGAAATAAAACGTGATTTCTCCCTACATTACTACCATCTACGCATTATCAGCCTTTCATTTATTGTAAGATGGAATTTATAGCTTGCTTTTTTCTCTTCATTCGAAAAAACATATTGGTGAAAGTGCACACTTAAATATTCATACAGAGTCTCCTTTTTCCCCTTTGATGCCTGGTGGTCCGAAGGCCCCCTTAGGGCCAATGTCACCCTGAAAAAGGTAGGCACATTCGCAATGTAAAGATCTAAGTAGGCATGATGACAACAATTTAGTTTATCACATCAGACTATGATAATGCAGCGGCAGATGACCTTGTCACCCTTTAGACCTGGAAAACCACGTGGGCCGACGTCTCCCTGTGAGAAATATAAGAACGCTGTTGTCTTCTGAGATCTTTCAAAACAAGGGATTCCAAAATAAAAATGGCGACCGCGGGCTGGGGTGAAATGTGACATCGCTTTACCTTCGTCCCTGGAGGGCAGGAGCAGTTCGCTTCAGGGCCTTTTTTCTGCTCTGCAACAGTCGGTGTTGGTGTGGGGATCCATATCGGAGGAGCCTCTGTCACAACCTTCTTAGGGCACTGAAATGACACAGAGGACTGCTGATTAGAAGCCAGTTTACTTAGGAGCTAAAGGCAGGTCTGTGCTGCTTAGACAAAGTCTTACAGATTTTCATTCATCTTTTGAAAATCAGACATGCTTTTTTTTGTATCTATGGTACTTTTTATCTAAAATGCTTATAGCCTTTTCACAAATCACATTCCTATCAAATTCTACTTTGGCACATGTTGAGCCATAATCTGACTGATTTGGTCGCAGTCAAGGCTTGACTGGCTTGAGTTTTCAAAACTAGAATCCAAAAAAAACTGTGGAAAGTGATTAAGTTAGATGGACCACTGGCTAAGTGTCGGGTCAAGATTCTATTTTTGGGCATGGCTTTGAATACTACTTTCAATTATGTAATTTATTATATCATCCATCAGCATTATTAGTTTTTTCCTTATTTAACCTTTTTTTAACCAGATAAAAACAACCCATTTAGACAGAGGTCTCTTTTCAAGAGTGGCCTGGTCAAAATGTCGACAACCTTAGAAGCACAATGCACCAAAAACACAACTGGATAATAATAAAACAAATCCATTCTAAAATGTAAGATTTCCCACAATTTAAAAAAAACAGGCAGTATTTTGTAGATATCTGTTGCCTTTTATGTAAATAGCAATAAAGAGCCTTAAATTAGATACGTTTATAGAGTTTTCTCTTATTTTGTTTTTTACTTTTTTATATTCAGATTTTCATATTATATATTTTTATTTATCAAATATTTTTCTAAATATTTTATTGTAATATTTGTTTTCGATTTGTTTCACTGTAATTTTTACAGATTTTATATATTATTTGTATTTTTCTGCTTTCGTTTTTCAGATGCTGTTTTTATTGCATTCTTTACAAATTGCACTTCACATAGCTTTCACTTTTCGGGGCTGCGCACATTCACTCTTGGGCAACATGTGCTTCGTAAGCAAGTTTTAGATGCTCTTGAAGTGAAGAGAACATAATTTTTGAAACACAATTTGAACAGAATGCGATATCTTAAACTCAACCTGAAAAACTTAACATTTAAAATACAAATGAAAAATAATGAAAAAACATAATTAAAATACAAAACGTTGGGAAAATATAATCTATTGAAAAAGTGAAAACATAAAACTTAAAAATGAAATCTTAAATAAAAATTTGAATAAAAAATTACTTTTAAAGCCTTTATGAAATAAATATTTTTTAAAGTTTCATTTCTGGATTGCTGTTTCTTTTTCAAATTTTCATTGACAATTACATTATTTTGTTCTTGCAAAATAATGTAACATAATTCACTCCATCGGGTGTGTTCTACCATCATCCAGAATGTGTGTAGTCTTTTGTAGTTGCTGTAAGATACAGCAACATGTAAAAAATGATATAAACTACATTTAAACAGCATTTTCAGGCATAGAAATCCATTTTCCCCTGTGTGAATCTACAGGCAGTTATACTCACAGGCCCATTAGGAAGATCACAGCAGGTTTCTAGCTCTGCGTGTTTGGAATCACAGTAAATCATCATCCTCTGGAGGTCAAACTGAGCAGATAGACAAAAAGGGTCAACATCTAGAAAAAACAAAAACATCTGCAGTAAATTCCACTTTTAAGAATAAAGGTGAGAGCTCACATCTATCGGAACACTATCGTACAGCCTCTTCCCAATCACTGTCCTCCCCTGAATGTCTATGTCTTCACGGTCTTCGATCGGCAAAGTCTGGATGTGTTTGCAGTCCAGGTACAGGGCCACAGACTTGGCATCCACACTGAGGGCTATTTTGTGCCAGTTGCGGTCAAAGAGGTTGTCTACTTCAGGGTTCTTAAACACAGATCTGACAGCATCTTTCGTCAACCCCACTGCGTTGTACTCCACTGCTTTGTTCTCACCGTCCAGACGTATGGAAACCTGGAAGTGAAAGTTAGGATGAAGTCACTCTGGCTTAGGATGATTTTCTCAAGTACACTGCAAATTTTTTTTAAATCTAAATAAGTATTTTACACTTAAAATAGGTGCATTTTTTCTTGAATTTGCTAATGGAGCAAGACAATTAACATTTAAAATAAGGAAAAAAACAACTGCTTTGTATTATTTCTGTGCATATTATCTAATTTTCTTATTTTAAGAGTAGAAATACTCATTCCACTGTCAAATCTTCTAATTTACCTGCTCAAATTAAGAGTGAATAAACCTAATTTAAGAAATTATTACTTATTTCAAGGTTGTTGAATGATTGCTTGTAAGTTCTAGCTCTCTTGTTTGGGGAACATTACTTTACAGGAAGATTTATTATAGTTTATATTTGGCTGACCCACCTGTGGGATTCCATATTTGTCAAAAATCTGCCAGAGGTACCAGTCCTCTCGTCTTGAGGTTTTCCTGAATTTGAATGTGGTCACAAAAGCGTATTCATCTGGTAAGCCCTGAGGAAACACATCCCTGCAAAATACAGCAACACATTAAATACTTTCTTTTACTGGGGATTTTAAGCATAAAGCCATATAGAAAACCCTCAGTGGTTACAACTATATAACTTATAAAGTACCCTGGAAAAATATTCAACTTGTATATGTAGTTAGTGGAGCAATTGTGAAGGAAAAAAAAATCTTTAAAATGTATCAATCGTTTCAATCATCTTTGGCCTAAATGATTTCTGAGACTGTTGCCTAGGATCTGTTTAAGGGCTGAGGTGACATTAAGAAGGTTAATAATAGTTTGTTTAGCCCAGGGGTCTTCAAGCTGGGGCTCTGGAGCTGCAAATGGCTCCTTGGACTTTCCTCAGTGCCTCAAAATAACTTGAGAACCAGTAAATGTTTTAACAGATAACTGAAGGTTTTAATGGTAGGGGTGCAGATGAAAATTATTTAGATTAGAATCAACCCTTCTGCAGCGACAGTCTTGGTTATACAATGGAAAAAAAAAAATCGAAATCTAGATAAGTCAATTTTTCTAAAAATAAGTAGATTTTTGTTGGATTAAGGAGGTAAAAGAGACATTTTGCCAAATAAACAAGATAATTTACACTTAAAAAAAGAAAAAAATATATTGATTGTTTATTTCAAGTGCATATAATCTAATTTTCTTATTTTAAGTGTCAAAATATTCATTCCTTTGGCAGATTATCCCATTTACCTACTCAAAATAAGGATAAATGCACTTAATTTAAGAAATGTTTACTAATTTCTAGATTGTTTTTCCAGTGTATTAGGGTAGGTCTAATCTAGCTTTTATTGCTAGCTGTAGGATAAGCTGTTAAGAGACTAGTTTTGCACCACCATGCAGGTGCGTGCGAACACGATGTGTTTTCGAGTCGTCCAGATGAGAGTTGACTCAACTTAACAAAGTCGGCTTTTCGACGTTTTGTGAGGCTATCATTCAAAGACAGGCTCTGACGCTCTGACATACTGTCAGACTTTATGTGACTTCATTTCAGGGATGTGGACAGTAATCATGATGCAGCTCTCTTTTTAGCACGATCCAGCATTCAGTGCTGAAAGAGATTTTGTGCGGCTAGCAGAGCTTTTTAACAGGTGTTAAAATGTGTCCTATTTAGTAGATAACTAAATAATTATTCATTGTTTATATTCAAAAACAGAATCACATTGAGGGCATTTTACATCTTTTTAAACAATGTAAGTATCAGATTCTGGAATAATTTAGGTTTTTGCTCTAGTAAGTTTCATTCTGGCATTACTATTCTTGCAAATACTACACGGCAAAAAATCTAAATCTAGATAAGTCATTTTTTCTTAAAATAAGTGCATTTGTTCTTGAATTGAGGAGCTAAAAGAGACATTTTGCCAATGGAACAAGACAATTTACACTTAAAATAAGAAAACACAATTGCATTGTCTTATTTCAAGTGCATATTACCTAATTATCTTATTTTAAGACTAAAAATACTCATTCCATTGGCAAACTATCTCATTTACCTGTTCAAATTAAGGGTAAATTCACTTAATTTAAGAAATTTTTTACTTATTTCTAGATCGTTTTTGCACTGTAGTAAGCCTCTGCTTATGTATAAACCACATTTTTTTCTGTTTTTGCAAAATCATGGAAAAGGTGTAACAACTTTTTCTCTCCAATGTTATAAGGACAGCTCCGATCAATAAGTCTTTGAATATTAATAATTCATTTAATTGGAAGTAGCCAGACAAAAAACTGGCACATGTTTTCTTCACTTTTGGTAAAAATATGAAGTATGAATGTTTTTTATGTCACTTACTCTGTTTGTTGGACTATTGGCATTGTCCCAAGGCGAACATATGAACTCTGGCCTTCATCAAGCCTGGCCCCCAGGATGTCCTTAACGTTGAAGTACTTCATGAGGTCGAACCCTGCCGCATCAGAATAAAACAAACCCATTGGACACCAAAAAAAAAAGTTTGGAATCATCATAAAAACATTTTACAGATGTTTTTAAAGATTTATTCTGGGCCAATTAAAAGATCAACCATCATCTAAATATTCTGTCCCAGTATACAGTATATGAACCATTCTTTGGATTAACCATTTTGATGCAGAATGTGGTCCTTCAAGGAGAGAATTAAAAAGGTAGAATAGACCCAAGAACACTCACACAATAACACAAGCATCTTTTGAGCATTGAGGCAGAGTGATGGTTTAGGACTTCTAGTGTCAAGCTGAAGTTGAAGTGGGTTAGTCCCACCACACCCTGCAGCTACTGTGTTTTGTGGCCATTTGAGGGAAAAGCTGAAATCACTGTTCTGCTACTGAACAGCTGGGAAATTGAGCAGTTGGGAACTGAAATGCTTGTTAGATTTGCTGCCAGAAAGAAAATAACTAATAGTCATTGCTGGCAAGGCTCTCTGAGCGTCTGTGCACGCGTGTCTATGGTGCCCTACGGTATGTCATTTGAAGTGGTGCAACCACAGCCCATATTTAGGCAGTTTGAAAAGGCCACTCCCTTGTACAGCAAACAAGTGCTGTAGTCATGGCAATGCCAGCGTTTGAAGGATTCTGCTTGTTCTGAGGCTGACAGTTTTCTCTGCAGTGAACATGTTGAGTGGAATAAGCTATTTCCAAAGAAAATAACATGACATTAATAAATCTAAATGATAGAGAGCACTTTAAACTATCCCCGCAGTGCTCTGGTAATGCGGTCAAATCTGTGGGATACAAGGTTTCCAGGGGGATTATTTACACCAGCACAGTAATCTTTAAAAGGAGGAAGCAGAGCATTAGAGTGGTAATGTGAGAGTCTGGGGAAGGCTCAGTGGGTATCGTAGGGAAAAACAGCTTAGAAACAGGTGGTGGGAAACAGAGGGTGCCCTGGTGGAGCTAGCAACATAGTAATAATGAATAAGTGATTTTGAATGTTGTATGCATGCAGACTCAATACATAAGATCCTTTAATATGTCTACTTTTAAGGAAATTCTGCCTCTTTTCGTCCTAGTTGTGTCTAGAGACATTAGCAAAGCATCTTCAGGCTAATTGTTGTTATCTTAAGGTAAGGTGAGACTGCATTCTTGAGTTAAAACAGGAGCCGCAGGAAAATCAAAGCAAGAGCCCTGGCACAGAGTCCCAGAACGGGGGAGATTTACTAAATACATGCTTTTTGCTGCGCTAGAATTAAGACCTTTGCCACACGGCACTTCTGAGCTGACCTTTATAAGGAAATAACATGTAAATTGTTTGTTCCAGCCGCGAAATCCATATTTGCCCTTGAGTCGGAGCTAATGACAATAATAACTGATTGCAACAACAAAAAATACAATTATCAAAGTAATAAATATTATTGATATGGTAATTTATAGAAAAGTTAAAGGAGGAAGAAGCAATAGGTCATTATTTTAGGTTAAAAGAACAGAAAAATAGTAATATGAAAAGTTTATGGTGTCTTTTAATATTGAATATGGCATGATGACACAACACCTCTCTTTGTTGTTCTCAGGTTGTGCATGCTTGTATATCATGGCAAAATTCCTTTGCTAACATGATCTTGGAGCAGCTGACTGGCTTAATTATTAATTTCATTCACCTGTCTAACTCTGCCCCGTTTCCAATCACTGCTCATCTGATCCACCTACTCCTGCCCCTACTTAAGGTGCTTGCATCCAGTCATCAGGCTCAGATTATGTTGGTCTCTCTAGCCAGTGGTGAGACTGTTTTTAGAGTTCCTTGATATTTCTGATTCATGATCCAGACCCGTTTTACCTCTCAACCACTGAGCCTGCCTGTTCCCATCTGATCTGTTTGCCTGAACTGTCTTTGGACTCCTGGACCTCTGAGCCTCTCTTATCCCTGTTCTGATCTGTTTAACTAAACTGTCTTTGGGAACCTGGACTTCTGAGCCTGCCTGTTCCTGTTCTGATCTGTTTGCCTGAACTGGCTTTGGACTCCTTCATGTTCTAACCCTAACCCTGCAGCATTTGGGACACTCTGGATGGCGCCCGCCGCATCTTGTTGGCAGCCCACTGGCTGGATACTACCTTGTTCTCTGGGCATGGACTGAATTTTAAAACCAGGTTAGTGACTCACATTGGTAATCATCCACCGTCAGATTATCATGGTTACCAACCTGTGTTTCTCTCCAAAGAGGTACCAGCCTTAGAAGGCCTAACCTCTACTACTCCAATTTGTTGTTTAAATAAGTGCGTTTGGAATTATCCCACTGTCTGTCTGGCCTTGAATACTGGGTCATTTCTTCTGAATGATGACATTAACAAGTTATTAGTTACCTATTTCTTCAAAAGATAGGATCCACTGAAAGGTGATGCTGTTTCATATTTATTTGCATTTATTGTCTGCAAAGCATCTGAAGGATGCAGATAAAGTGGAGGTTTAACTTTAGCTTCACTTGTGTGCTAAAGGGCCCAACTTTCCAAGCTGTGAGATTTTGAGTATTGCTTATTTAAAAAATCAATATTGATCCAAAAAGCTTAAAAACTAACTTTGTCAAATTCTCATCGGTCAGATAAAGAGCCACACGCAGCAACATTACTCTCTGCTGGATGTGTTCACACTAACACCTCACTGTACCCAAAATATTGCAAACCATCAAAATGATGTTCTAAAACATAACCGTGCCCGTTAAGGAAAAAGATTCCTTTTGTTTGATCTCTAATTGTGGCTGTTTTTTCCCAAGCATGCTCCAATATTCAAGTTCAATAAATATGTTTTGTTTTTTTGTTCTGGTTTAATTCCATGAAGATTATCTTCCTTAGTTTTTGTGTAAATCTTTTTCTCCCCTAGTATTTTACTGTTTTTATTTCTGACATTCCAAACATTTGCTCACAGACTTTTGCTCACAGATTTTTTTCCCCATCAAATCGCCACAATCATTGTGGAGATTTCTAGGTTTAAGGTTGTACCTGAATCTCAAATGAACCAGACAGAGAAAAAAAAAATCTCATGTAATGTGTATCAGGTTTGACAAATCCCTTTTTGGGTACCAGGTATTCCCATTAGCTTATCATATGCATTGTATTTTCTGTGGTTTGCTTATAAGAATATCCTCTGCATATTCATAAAAGCCACACCATACAAAAACGTGCTGTAAAACTTAATCTACACAAGCAACATCAATGGTACCTGCTTTTAGGTTCAGCTTTGAACATGTAAGCACACAACTATTTTGAAAATCACACTTTTTGTGATGGTCACTGATTCTCAAATTCACTTGCAACTCCTTAACATTTGTAAGCTATGCATAGTTTTAATATTATGTTCTTTTTGGATTAATTCGCTCTACTTTTATTTCCTTTTACCAAACATTTTGTTTGTACTTTGTAATAAGATGTAAAGGGAAAAGCTGCAAAAAAAAGCAATTTAGCTATTAAAGGTTTTGCGAGTTTAAATCCATATGAACTTATTGCTACACATAGAATACATACTGGGTTTTGGTACATTAACAGATCTGTAACCTGAAACACGGTGCTGGAAGCATCATGCTGTGATATGCAACCAACACAGGGCAGCTAAAATATTCACAGATGATGACTTTTTGCATCAAAACTACACTTTTATTAAGATGTTATCACAGATCAATTCAACCGTTTATTTCTATAGCACCAATTCACATCACGTCTCATCTCAAGGCACTTTTCAGTTCACCAGATCATACAGAAAAAATGTATTCAAAGTTTTCTATCTACGGAAAACCAGTTGATTGCATCAAATCACTGACACGAATGCAATCCCTCACACTAAGAATGCTTGTAGTGACAGTGGAGAGGAAAAACTCCCTTTTAACAGGAAGAAACCTCCAGCAGAACCAAGCTCAGTGTGAGCGACCATCTGCTGAGGCCGACTGGGGTTCAAGGAGACAGAAGCACAGATACAAAAGGCAACAAAAGGAAACACACAGCCAGGCAGACCAGCTCCGAGCCAGCTCCCATGTCAGAGGATGAAGAGAGCACATCCAGCCAGTCGCAATCAGAGAAATAGGACTACACTGAAAAACAGGCCAATCTCCAACATCTTTAAACAAAGGTGTTGATGGCAGCAGGACAGCTGATATTTCTCCCCAAGATGGTCTCACTTCCAAACAGGAACAGACGAGGCGAAGCTACTAAGATCAAGACTTATTAATGGCAGCATCATGGTTAGTGAACACTATGCTTCAGCAGTCACAGGGATGCTGATCAGAAGAAGAGAGATGGTGTTAAATAGAGACAATCTCTGTCAGAGGCTACAGGAGACTGAACAATGGAGTGGATGTACCAAACTCTAAACATACAGCAAGAGCTCTGACAAAATAAGAATCAATCTAAGGATATTCAAGTGTAAGAATGGACTAATCTGTAATCCCATTCAGAATATGTGTCATCTAATTGGTCTGGTCTTAACCAGTTCTGAAAGAAACAGAGGATAAAGAATGTAGCTTTTGGAGAAGTCCAGTTGGCAGAGACATAAAAAATAAAAACCCTGAAACTGTCTCTGCATTGAAAGGTTGTTTTACAAAGTATTGAATCTGCAGGATTAATACTTTATTAATTATGAAAAGTGAAGTGGTGAATTTCTATTATTATTATTTTAATAACTAATTCTTTCTTAAAATAAGGGCATTTTGCTTGAATTGAGGAGGTAAGTGAGACCCTTTGTCAACAGAATAAGATAGTTTACATTTAAAATAAGAAAAAAGAATTAAATTGTCTTATTTAAAGTGTATTTTATCTAATTATCTTATTTTAAGAGTAAAAATACTCATTCCATTGGCAAAACCTCTTATTTACCTACTTAAATTAATGGTAAATACAGACAAATAAAGACATTTTTCCTTATTTCTAGATTGTTTTTGCAGTCTATGTTGTTACATATAAATCCTGATGGCCTAAAAAAGTTTAAAACATTGTTTATTTGACACTTTTGAGC